ACATAATCCATAATCTATATACTGGCCAGCAATGGTTCTTATAGATTCTGATACAATGGAAAAGATAAGATTGGTAAACCTGAGTCCTATTTTCATTTCTACCAGTGGACAACTGGGAGCACTTAGACAAGTCAATTAACAACTTAGGCCAAGATTAACTCATCTATAAAAGATGTTGGGAGCAGGTACTGTTTACAGTCCTACTTTACTTTACCTTCTACTTCTACTTTAGAAGTACACTGATGCCAATGTTTTGGAAAACAAAACCTTTGTTTAACAGTTCAGTGCAACCCTCTCAACTTTGAGACAAGGCGTGTTAAAAACAAAAGCTAACACAGATGGTTTTTTTGGCGGGGGGGGCACCAAAAAACAGAAAGTGCTGAAGAATCTTGCAACATTGCCATGGCTAGCTATAACTGTAAGATATGTGTGTACCCAATATAATGGCGTCTCCTGTAACAGAGCTGCTCCACACACGGCTGTGACTATCGGTGGACAGAAGGAGGAAAGTGACATGAGGGGAGCAGATCCCTCTGGCTTCCTCCAGGGTTGGATGGCTAGTGACAAGGAGCGGATAATAATTCTAAGCAGAACTGTGAGAATAAATCAGTAACAAATACAAATGAAAGTTCCAAATATGCAAGTACTAGACCATATCAGGTAAAAACTACTTGACCTATAATTTTAAAATAGAAAAGGCACAAATAATGTAATCGACAATGAAATAATGCTACATTTACCAGATGAAATGCTGGGTGGTAAATACAGTTGATTTTCAACAATGTTTAATGGCACGTAAATTCAGAGCACACACCTGGGCACAGGGCATGATCCCCAATGGGTGTGTGTGTGTGGAAAAGCCTGAAAAGAATTTCACCCAAACATACATTTTTAAAAGTTATGTGGTATTACATGACTTTTTACATCTTTCTAGAAAAAAAATGCCCTGCCTTTCTCAAATTCTACTGTTTTATAATTTTAAGTGTTCCCTTTAAAAAATTGTTTTAATCTATAATTTCAGAATTTATAGAAAGTCATTAAAATTATATTATTCTCACTAATATTTGAAATAAGTATTTTATTATATTTGCATTGGACTTAGAAAAACAATTTAATGTCTATCATTTTCTTTATACCATTTTTCTAATTGTTCATAAATATACCTGCCCAAACTACTATATATATTTTCTTTTTTTTTTAAGATTTTATTTATTTATTCTTAGAGAGGGAAGGGAGGGAGAAAGAGAGAGAAAAACATCAATGTGCAGTTGCTGGGGACCGTGGCCTACAACCCAGGCATGTGCCCTGACTGGGAATCGAACCTGCGATGCTTTGGTTCGCAGCCCGCGCTGAATCCACTGGGCTACACCAGCCAGGGCAAACTACTGTATATATTTTCCATAAAACATTCATATTATAAAATGCAAGGACCAAAAGAATATATCGAGTATAAACAGAATACCAAATAATGTTTTCTTAATTTTAGGTACCAGTTATGTCTAAAATATTATGCAAATATATTCAAAATTCAAATCAATCTTTCAATACTTATACTACAAAATTACTCGTAAACCTCTGGAAAGATGGCCAGTATTATTAATAAACTCATACCTGTGTTAATAAATTTTTTAATTAGTTCATATATAGGTCCATATAGATATTTAAAACCTTCACTATGTAAATTTTGATGATTTGCTAAGCAAAAATGACTTAATTATAAACAAACACTTTTGATGACTCACAAATTCCAGTAAAACTAATAAAAATATATTCCTGATAAACAGTGTTAGGACTTTTGAGGTAAGTGCAAGAAGAACAAAAAGTTTAATATTGATAAAATCTTTTTAGGACAAAAAAAGAAATCAACTACAGGGTCCGGCAGAAGTAGGGGCCGATTGAGCGTGGTGGGTAGAGTATTAATATGGGTGTAATCATTTATAGTTTTAAGTGAACATTTCACCTAAAGTGTCATAGGGTGTGCCTGAGTGTGACATTATGTTACAGAATTGCATGCTTATTATTTTGTAATAAAAAGGGCATTATTTGTGCCAGACCCTGTATTCTCCTTTAAAATTTTAAACAAAAGTATAATAAATTTTAATGATACTACAAATGGGAGAAAATTCTATCTGTATCATTTCGTGAGAGCTTTTTCTTTTGTAAGGAGCTCATAATAAAGTCTTAACTGCACATGTAAAAATTCTGTGGGTTGCATAATACTTGTTCTTGTCATGTAAAATTGAAAAATAAACATTTGATGTTAAGCAAAATCAGATGCTGGAAAAAATGCACTTTCTTACCACATGTCAACACTGAAAACATGAGGAAAATATGCTAAAGTCAGTTATTTGTTGCATGTATGTGAACAGCATCCTCTTTTACTGATTAAGGCTGCTGGTACTAATGCTGTATATGAATTTTGATGCAGTTTTAACATTACTTAGCGTATCAAGTAATAATACAAAAAGAAACAGAGACCTAAACCAAAGTATGCAGTCAAAATTGAGGCAAGATGCTCAAAAAAATGGGGACATGTGTCAGTGGCATAAGTAGTACTGTGTGTTCATGTTAGGGATGGGCCTTCAAGCATGCTGCTTTCTTAAGCAAATAAGAAAGCTTCCCTTCTGATTACAATGGAGTCCCATTACAAACCCCCTTCAATCCATAAGCCCCATTCATCAAGTTCAGTGCATTACTTAAATAGTAATCATCGGGCTACAAGTCAAAGGGACTTTTTTCACTGAAAATGTATCTTGTCTTGTGTTCTTGTTTTTATTCCCCCCAGTCAGGCCAACACACACACACACAGAGGATGTGTATGTCTATATCTATTTATTGGTCTGCCCAGAAAGTATCCAGCAATGTTATATACACACTGGACAGACCTTGTAAGCTATATGTATTTGTGAGTCTGTGTGCCTGTATATCTTTAAGATTATTCACCATTACAGACTTCAGAAACATCTTTTCTCTAAATTAGCACCCATTCATGGGACTCAACTATTTAGCTTTCACAGCTGAAAGGGATTTTATTTTTAATGATCCCACTTTGAGTATTCATGTACACACCTGCGTCTTCTCTATATTCTGCCCTCAGCATCCAGAAAAACGCCTGCCAATACTAGATGCTCAATACATTGCAATAACATGTAATCATTCATTCTTGGAACTCTAAGGTGAATGTTCCATTTATATGTCATAATGCCTCTGTACCTGAGACATAACAAATAGAATCCGTAAAGAAACATTTAGTTTAAGCAGAACAAGGTAAGCTTACATTTTCAGCACTCCAAAATTTTCACCACTATTTCTTAAATCCAAATAAGTAAATATAAAACATGTCAACATAACTTCTGGCTAAAATTTTAATTATGAAAAAGTTGGAAAAATTAGCATTACCTTCACAGTAACTACAACGAGGCAACAGATACATTAATATGTGTGAATGTTAGATATCATTAAACCAAAGCATAACTTAAGAACTAAATTACAGTGGTTGTCAAAATCGTAGGTCTAAATTTAGCAACTTAGCACATTTAATCATAAATTGCAAACTAATTTATATTTTACTTTCTTGACTTTAACAATTACTAGAAATCTAATACACACACCACACATAATATGGGGGATTTTGCAAACAACAAAAAAGAGGAAAAGGTGAGCAAAGTATTAGGAAATTTGCTTCCTCAAGGTTTACAAAGAGTTTATGACACCTGATCTAGTGAGAGTCCATCACAGATTTTTTTCTCTCTTCTTTTAAATTTTTGTTCAATTACAGCTGTCTCCATTTCCCCCACCACCACCACTCCCACCCTCCCCAGCCACCCCCACCTCCCACCTTCTATCCTCTCCCCCTTTGGCTTGGTCCATGTGTCCTTTATACACGTTCCTTGATGGCCCTTCCCCCTCTTCCTCCCATTACCCCCTTGAGTAGAGGGTCCATCTGGCCAGGTCTTTTCTGCCTTAATCAATTATCTGTATTTTAATGGTCTTTTTTTACATTTCACTTCTACCACAATCAACTGAAAATCCTTTTAGGAAGTTGGTGGAACAAACAGGAAGCAAATTTAAATATTCTGGCTTCAATTCTTCACTGACGAAAGTGGTGACTCTCTAAAAGTCTCTAGTATTCTACCCAATGTCTGATGCACAGCAGACACTGAAAATCAACTGACACAACTACAGACAGGAAAACAGTGAGCCCGCCGGGGCTGTTCCCGGCTTACCAACCCTCCTGTAAGCTTCACTCAACCTCTGCAAGGGTAAAAAGGACCATAATAGTATCGATTTCATAAAACTAATACGAGCATTAAAAGTGTCTAGCATCTGGCAAGCAATTAACTGTTACTTGTTTTATTTTGAGCCTCAATTCCCTCATAGGTTAGAGGTCAATCAAATCCAACCCAAAGAGTGATAAGAATTAAGTAGTCTAGCCCTGGCTGGCATAGCTCAGTGGATTGAGCGTGGGCTGCGAACCAAAGCACCACAGGTTGGATTCCCAGTCAGGGCACATGCCTGGGTTGCAGGCCACATCCCCAGTGGGGGCCACGTGCCAGGCAACCACACATTGATGTTTCTCTCTCTCTCTTTCTCCCTCCCTTCCCCTCTCTAAAAATAAATAAATAAAATCTTAAAAAAAAGAATTAAGTATTCTTAATTCTTAATATGTGTATTAAGAGTTTAATACACATATTAAATCAGTTGGCATAAATGCCAGACATAGGGAAGGTCCTCAATAAACTATAATTTCTTTCTTTGCTACCTTGCCTCGAAAGTCCTATTTTAAGATCCAGAAGAAATTTAAAATCAAATGTATTAGAAGATTGATGGTTGGATGAAAGAATAAAAATCACAAACAGCATTCTAATAAACGATCATTTTTTCTTGCCCAAATACAACTTTCCTATAAAAGACTACAATTAGCATTTGTTAATATATAAGATATGTTCTAGAAGAAATTCAAATAAGTCTTTTAAATTAGAATTCATTCACATTTTTACCTTTTCTTCCAGTTGGTCCTTCAAACTCTGATATTTTAGCTTCAGCTTTTTATTCTCATTTTCATTCTGGGTTAATTCCTCCGTCAGCCTGTCACACTGTGCTTTCAGCTTCTCTAGCTGACAAAGATGGACTTTAGCCGTATTCTTATCTTCTAAGCTTTCTGCCTGAGAAAAAGAGAAGGAGAAAAGCCAAACTGTACGCCAAACAAATGATACATTATCTCATCAGGCAAATACTTCGAGATGTTGCTATCTCCAAGAGTTTGTACACACACAGAACAAAAGAGATGCTCTTTGCATTTACTCAATCCCTTGCACTCCCTGAGCATTTACTAGGTAAAAGGTACTGTGCTAGGTGCTGTCAACAACAGATAGGAACAGTAAAAGAGACAAATGCCAAAATCCATTTCCACAACAGTGAATGAGAAGTGGAGGGAGGGTACTGTGGCAACCCAAAGAGGGAATGCCAACTCTGCTGAGAGGGGAAGCCGTTGAATTATAGAAGTGTCCCCAAAGGGAAGCACTGAGATGTTACTGACCAATCGCTTTCCTCATTTATAAAAGAAGCTTGACAACATTACCAATCACCTACCTCCTCATTTTTGTGAAAGAACCGAGTACTTAGGAACACTCAACAAACCATAACATAAGTCAGCCTAAACATGCTTGCTACTCTAGAGATACCAACAAAGAGCCATGCAACGCAGGGGGCCGGGAGACTCAACCCCACTTCAGCGAATCCACGGAAGAGTCGAAAATTAATCAGGCCTTGAAAGACTAGGCAGCACTGGGGGAAAGGACAGTCCGTGAGAGCACCACTTCCCAAGGCGTGACCTATCAAGTCACTACACACCTGCCCTCGTGCAAAAACCCTGCCTTCCTTTGAGAGTCACATGATTTCTCATCGACTCTCCCTTCCTTGGTTAGACTTCAGTTCCCTTCATCCTAACTCAACATGCTAAAAAACTGAATGTGGCATTGTTCTCTCCAAATCTGCTGTTCTATACACATTGTCTACTTTGGCAAATAGCCTCACTATCCACCTAGTCACCCAAGTCTATCCCTAGTCATCCTGAATAATAAACCTTTTTCACTACAGTGATGTGGTTAAGAAATAGGCACTTGACTACCTGGGTTCAAATCCTGCCTCAACTACTTACTAGCTGTAAGGCCTTGGGCAAGTCACTGAACTACCCTTGCCTCAATTCCCTCAACAGAGAGAAAATAATAGCAAAAAATCTGCAGGGATAATATTAGTATTAAATGATTAATACATGTTAAGTTTTTATAGTAATGATTGGCACACGCTAAGTGCTAAATATGTCTTCTACTATTACTAGTATTGTCACGGCCAATCAATTAAGATAGAATCCGTATTTTATTTTCTTTAAGATCAGCTCTTCTTTATATCTCTAATTTACTTTTTTTCATGTCCTCATCCACTCTGAAGGACTATTATGTCATATTTAATCAATACTAAGACATATATTTTTTCACCTTTTACCGTTTCTATCTTGGGATGTTTGTTGTCTTACAGTTAACAGCACATCACGTTTTCATAGGCAGGATTTTTTTTCTTAGTAGCATCTTACAATTAATGGTATGTTTGGTAAAATGAAATATAGTAAAAGCCTCTTACCTCTTCTTCCAGCCTTCATTCTGCTCTGCCCACCCCAACTAATGACCCCAAATCCATGACTGCCAGTAGGCTATGTAGGACTGGGGAAGAACTCATAAAATAGCTGAGAGCACTCTTAAAATATCAGCTATTTTGATATAATTTCATCTTTCATCATAGGCATTTTATGGCAGTTGCATTTCAAGGAATTTTGAAAAAAATTAAAATGGACTTTTGAAGATTTATCCACTTATTCACCTATTCAACAGATATTAACAAGGTTTGAAGAATTCTTTTAAGTACTTGAGATAGAGCTGTAAACAAAACAGACTCCAATCCCAGTCCTCGTGGGGTGTTCATTCTCATAAAGACTGATTAAAAAACAAATAATATGGCTTCTATATGGTGATAAGTGTTATGGAGGAAAAAAATGAAGCAGAAAGAAGGGATAGTTTTATCACACTCCTAGCAGTCATGTTATAAAATTATTTCCCTGCATGGTTATAATGCTAATACCATTTGACCTTGGAAACAGTTCCCCAAATACAAGATCTCAACTGTGCATCTACCCAGGCAACTTTCATTTGGAAAAGAAAGAATAAATCTCAAAAGCCTTGGGCTTATACAGCCCATAAGCTGATCCACTTTAGTTACCAAACTAATAAGGACTGTGGTTATAGACTCTATAGCCTTGATAAGTCTTTGCATTTTATATTTTAGGAGGTCATAAATGTTGAATGAGGGCACATTTCAGGCCCACGACTTACTGCCACCTCTGCCTCTCCTAAACTCCCAAAATAGCTAACGGTTCTTTTTAAAAGGCTTCAGTGCTCTGAAATAGGTGCTCCCGGGTGGCTGCTATAACTCATTTCCACCTGGCTGAACAGGCATGAATAAGCCCCTTTACTGTTAGTTTTAGCTTCCCTTCAGTGCTTGGGAATACAGAATGATCTCTAAAAGTTTACGCTTTATTAACTTCGCGAGTCACCGAAGAATTCCCTCAGTATCATCAGTATAGCTCAGCGCAGGTACCTGCAGTGTCCTAATGTGATTCTCAGCTTCACTCTTTTCTTTCTTGAAGTGCTTCATCAGCTCCTGGATATTTTGTTCGTGTTTAGTTTTCACGCTCTGCAATGACGATGTGAGATCTTCCAGCTCCCTTTGGTGAACATCTCGTTCCAGCTTTAGCTGTGCAATGATTGTAGCTGTTTCTTCATCTTTAGATTCTGCCTGTGCCTTGAGGTCAGAAAGGTTTTTAAGCACCTCTTTCCTGGCTCTTTGTTCCTCGGCCAATTTATTGGCAAGATCTGCCCGGATGGCACTCAAGTCCTTGATGGCCTCTTGCATCTCAAGAAGTTGAGCTTTGTCCTTCGCCTGGCTCTTCTTTAGCTCTGCAATTTCTTCCTCCAGGTGAGCTTTCTCAACTTTCATCTGGCTTTGATTCGTACTCTGCTTTTGCAGTTCAGTTTCTAGCCTATGGATGGTGTCCAGGTTACCCTTGACTTCTAGTTCAAGGTCAGCTTGATGAGCCTTAACGTCACTTAGTTTCTGCTCCTTACAGTGAAGCTCCTCCTCTTGAAGGGCACGCTTGGTTATGACCTCATTCAATTCCTTTCGAAGATTCTCTATTTGTTGTAATGCTGCATAAAGCTGGCTTTTCAATTCATCCTTTTCTTTTAGGATCTATCAGATTAAAAATATAAAACAAACAAAAAATTACTATAAAATTCACCATAGACACTGCCAGAAAACAAAATAAAATTTAATCCACAAAGAAAAGAAAAATTCATCAAACAATATTTGTATATTTTCAATTTTTCCAAAGAAAAATATTTTAGTCTAGAAAAAGAAAAATATAATACCCTGAAGTAGCACCACACTGAAATATGTTTTAGATTTTCATCACCAAAACATATCACTTTTTGATCATACATAATTATATAAATGTAAGACAAAATTGATCAAAAGAACAGGGAAAGAAAAAGACTCTTATTATAATTTACCAGAGGTTGAAATAATATGCACAGTTTACTTAAAATAATGATTTGCATTTCAGTGCCACACTTTTAAAAACAAGAAACCTCAAAACAGATATGGCAGATGACATAGGGAAACACACAGGCACTAAGGAAGGTAACGTCACACAACAGTATGTAGCTGGGAGTCTTGAAGCCCCATAAAGGTAGAAATGAGACTAGGAAAAGTTGGGAAGGGACTCAACAGCCATCACCCTCTGCCAGCTTCTTTAGGAGGTTAGGGTTTACAACTGAGGGACAGAGACCAAGAACTAACAACCCTCTAATCCTCACCAATCATTGATGCAAATAAAAAAGCAACCAGCACCCTGGCTGGCATAGCTCAGTGGATTGAGCTCGGGCTGCGAACCAAAGTGTCGCAGGTTCGATTCCCAGTCAGGGTACATGCCTGGCTTGCAGGCCATGACCCCCAGCAACCACACATTGATGTTTCTCTTTCTCTCTCCCTCCCTCCCTTTTCTTTCTAAAAATAAATAAATAAAATCTTTAAAAAAAAAAGGCAAGCAGCTAAGGAAGTAGAAATTGGCACACACATACCCCAACTCTGGCACCAAAGACAATCTCTACCTGCTTACTGATGCTCACCATAGCTTGAAACAGGGGAAAAAAAAAGATTCTCATTTTGAAATTTGAAATAATGAATTAAAGTGCAAATATTTGCAAGGCATTTCTGCACTTCACATTTTAATACATCAGTGTGAAACAATTCAATGTAAAATGTCACAAGTCAATCACTAAAAAAATAAATAGCGTCCTCAAATCCCTCTCAGTTCAAAGTGGGAGAAACAGCACGATGCTGACATGAGAAATAATAAAAGGAGGTGGGTGGGTGATTGAGCCGCGGAGCTCTGACCAGAGAGAATCAATTTGCTTCGCAGCCAGTCTTAAGTAGTTCTGTGGTCTTAAGGAAATTATTTCTCTTTATAAACATAATAGTAGTTACATCATAGGGCTGTGAAGACTAGTGGGAAAGAGGAAACAAAAAGTGAGGATGGGATTTAAGTTCAAGGAGGAACCAGGATCTCAGAGAGGTATTAATGCGAGAGGGATCAAAACTGTAAAGAGAAGGGATAACTGATAAATCAACATCCCTGGGTTGGAAAGACCAGAACACAGAAAAATTGAGTTCATTTTGGAAAGTCTATAAGTCAAGAAACATGGCTAGAAATATAGATAAGCCTAAGGGTAGATGTATTATTTCTCTATTGCAGTGTAACAAATTCCAACAAATTTAGTGGCTGAAAACAATATCCATTTATTATCTCACTGTGTCTATAGGTCATAATTCCAGGCAAGGTTTTCTGCTGAGGGTCTCCTAAGGCTAAAATCAAGGTGTCAGCTGACCTGGGCTCTTATCTGGAGGCTTTGGGGAAGAATCCACTTCTCAGTTCATCCACGTTGTTGGCAAAATTGAGTTCTGTGAACTTGGGTCGCTGTTTCCATCCTAGCTTTGGGCCACAGGTTGTTCTGGGTTCTGGAGGTCCCCGGCATGCCTGCACTCATGGACTCCTCTGCCTCTGAAGCCAGCAACACCACAGGGACTCTTCCTCCTTAGTTTTGAATCCCTCGGACCTCCCCATCCCCCAACAGACAGAAAACTGTATCTGCTTTTAATGGCTCCTGTGATTGGATTAGGCACATCCAGATAACCTCCTTATCTTAAGATCAACTGTGCCACAAAACATAACAAAATCACGGGAATGATACTATATTCACCAGTTCCGGACATTAGAGAGAATCACTCTATTTACCACACTAGAAAAGACAGAAACTGCTAGAATCAAGTCTTGACTGTATTGATGCCCACCTGACTAAAAGGGCAGAAATGTAAATATAGTGATTAATTTTTAGAACAAATAACATAAGCCCCCTGGCCATGAGTTCAGAGACTTTCATGCAGCCCTGAAGATGAAAATCTTCAATTCAAGATGAAGCTCTAGCAGGTAAAATGTCTGATTTAAAATACAATACTATCACGTCTTCCTCAAGTTAGTTTCAACAGTGAGGATATTTCTTTTTCTCCCACGGCAGAAAAACTGGAGATTGGGAGGCTCAGGAAGAGTCCTTCAAGGCTCAGGCTCTGCTGCTCTGCAAGGATGACCCTCCACTCCCCATCGCATCAACTCATGACAGAGGTGACAGTCATGGACAATGTTGGTTGTTTGGAATTTCTTTGGCAACACAGATACTTAAAACTGAGTAAGTTCTGTCCATTTGTGTTTGGCTAATTGCTTGGCTAGTAGTCACAGCCCAAGATTTTGTCTAGACATTGCCTCTGAGTCTAAAAATGTCAGTGTCTTAACCACCACCTCAGGCCCTAGCCATTCCCAGGGGCCCTCGGAGGAACAGCCTTTATTTTGAGGGAACTCAAAACAATGGACTTTGTGGCTTCTTTGGCCAGAAATGCTTAAGTATATGTACTTGAAAAGGGCCTGAGAAATCAGCGTTTTTTCCTTCATACTTGTTACTGCTAAGTTTCCCATCTCCCTCTCTGGCTTGGACTTCAGCATGGATAGATAATTGGACTTTTCCAACTCTGAAAGACTCCAAATGATCATACTCAAAAATCTGGATTACGGAGTGCAGATTTTCAGTTTCCCCACTCCAAAAAAACTCTTGCTCTCTGCTTTTAGACAGATCGGCTTAAACCTATACTTGTCTTTCTCTTATAGGTCCTTTCTGAAGGCTACAATAAGTACACAACATAGTCCAATATCCCATCATTTTCCTGCTGATCACTTAATACCGCATTTGGAGGCACAGCATCCATGCCCCAAGGCATGCTTTGTGATGGCTGCGTGATGCTTTGTGACCACTACTGCACAGCAAGGTTTGCCAACTTGGCCCTTAGAGATGTCTGATCCTTCTGATCGCCACCCCGCTTCTCCATGTAGCCAATACTATGTTTAGGTTCTTGTATTAATGGCTTCTTGTATTAACAGCTTCTTTCACCTCAGCTTGAATTTTTTCTACTGAGAGTAAGAGAACACTAGAAGTTGTCTTAAACCCCTGGGTAATTTGCTATCACCCCAGGCGGAACTGCCCCCAGACACTGAATGTCAAAGCTCTAGGTTCACCTCGAGGCACTCCTGTCAGCAACGCCCTCCAGTGTGTGAGGCTTCCTTCTCAGGACCACAGCAAGACAGCTGCAGCCATTCCAGGCCTTGCAGCTGAACACCACAATGTCCAGAGAAGCAAGAAAACTCCCTTCCTGTGCATCTTTTTTTGGAGTGAGTAAATGTTTACCTGAAATTCCCCAAAGACTTCATAGCTCATTCTTTATTGATCAGAACAGGGTTTGGTGCCTAGTAATTGGTCCCCGTTAATTTCTGAATGGAATGAAATAGACTGGGATGGGGAGGTAACCAAGAACCCTACAGGAGCCAACCAGCATGTCCGCGCAAGTTTTGCTGGTACTCTTCCCGGAGGAGAAGGAATGGAAAGAGGGGAGAGTCGGGCTGATTGTAGCGTGAAGGTCGGTAAAATGTGTGAGGTGGGAGGGAGAAATTGAAGATGCCAGTGAGCATGTCATCAGAGCAGGTTTTCATGAAGTCTAGTCTCTCAGGAAAAATAACTGATTGCAGGAAATGGCTGATCAACCAAAAGAATGTGAGAAGATTAAAATCAGATGGTAATGGTTAAAGAAGGGAAATAAAAGAAATGTGTCAGATCAAAGACTGAAATGTTAGAACTAAATACAGGGTCCGGCACAAATAACGCCCCCTTTTTATTACAAAGTCATAACCATGTAATTCTGTAACATAACAATATCACACTCAAGCATACCGTATGACATTTTAAGGGAAATGTTCAAATTAAAACTATGAATTAGTACACCCATATTATCACCCTACCTACCACAGTCAAGCAGGCATTACTTCTGCCAGACCCCGTATTTGAGCATTAGAGAAATTACAAATGATAACACATCTTAGTCACAGAACTTAGCTGCTGAGTGGTCTGAAGGTAAAACAGGTTAGTGAAGTACAAAGATACTGAATTCAATGGTTTGCTGATTTGAAACTTAGAGGTCACCACAGATCATGGCAAAAATTACATGTAATGAAAGAGGCTGAGGGGAAGCCAGGTGCAAAAAACCCATGGGAAATGTGGAGGCATAATGGAAAACTAAGCCGCAGTCAGGAACAATGGGAAGAGAATGTTCTAACCTAGTAAACCCAGCTTCCAAAGAACAGCTGTACAGAAAAATTATGAAAGGACTGAAAATGGCTGGTGGAGGCAGAAAAATGATACCATCTGAAACTAAGGTGGACACAGGAATAGGAACCAGTTCCTCCAAGACCTGATTATTAGGTACACCCAGTTCTCATGAATTATCTAAAAAGTGGACAAGGAAATTTTAAAAAGAAAAATAAGTTATCTTTTTGCATATGAGAGAACATGGAGACAGACTGCGGGATTATACTAATACAGAGTGGAACAAAAAATAGGTTTACAGTTGTGAGTATGCAAAAGTTTGTTCTTGTATTATGTATCAATTATTGTATTATTTTCCACAAGAACAACTGTAAACTACTTTTGGCCCACCTTGTATATCAGTGATCTAGTCTCTCTTAAGTTGCATTTCATAGGACTGCACACATATTAAAGCACATTAGCATTGATCCTTCTCACTTTTTAAGCATT